GAGCTCCTATATCGCTCCAAGTGCACTTTTTATTATGGCTTGAAAATTCAGGATTTACTTCTAACTGATCAGCCAGTGAATAACATGATCTAGATGGTCCAAGTTTCTGAAGTGGCGTAAAATGAATCATGTTGTAACCTAAGTAACAAGAAAAATAAATTTCAGTAAAAGAAGTTCCCTGACAAAAGCATAATAAATTACAGTCGTAACAGGTATTAAAAGCTGTTGTTTGGATTAACTAGTGTAAATTAATCTGATTCTTCCCCTCAACATTCTACATAATACCTGTTTTAAAAATCACACTCAGTTCTACAGACTTTTATATCCATCTGAAACCAAGCCAATAAAATGAAAGTGATTTCCCATACGAGGAAACTCCAAAAACATGCACTTAAGCAAATGTTTTAATCATTCCCCTGACTTAAATTTTTAATTTAATTGAATGTAGTGGGAAATATTTAAACTATAAACTAAAGGATAAATGAACTGTTTATACGGAAGGTCTTCAGTGTAATTTTGTTTTTTAACTACAAGATAAAAAAAATTACATCCTTTAACGTGTATATTGGTATTACCTGTTTCTTTTGCAACTTTAAGCCTATCTTCCCATTCATGAAATGGTCCCAGACACTTAGCGAGGAATGTCTGGAGTGTAACACAATCCAAAGGTAACACATGATTATCAGCTCCAACACGCAAAATAGGATCCACAACTATGTAACCTCCACCACTTTTCTCATTTCTAGGACAAATGAATGAGATTGTCATTAATATAGTAAACGCCCCTTGTACCACTCAGTTTCAGAAACAGAAGCCAACACACGCACCTATTTTAAAAATACTGAAGCTCACTACAGCACTTGGGGTGGGGGTGGGGGGGTTGCGAGGGCTAAACGGAACAAAAAATTCTGCAGAGATGTTCACCTCTTTGGCACCACCTCTCTACTGAACTTACACCAGTGCTTACAAGAACACAATTAAGGTACAGAGCTTTAAGCTCTCTGCAAAAGTGAAATGACTTTGTTATTGTCTTAGAGACAGAGTACTGGTTCCTGTTTTTAGAATATTGCTGGAAATCAAGAAAGCATGACTGCCCGTCTTTCATATATAGACTTATGTTTGGAGCACCATCCTGGGAAAGGACGAGAGACCTGGGCTAAACAGGAGCCTAAGGGAGTTTGACCATCAGCTCCTATCTTTCAGGAGCTCACAACACTAGGCTATAAACACTGCAGATGCTGGCATTCGCCACACCCTATTGAAACAAAAGTACTGTGAAGAACCTCTACCCTAGACAGAGAGAAAAAAAATCCCCAAATGACTTTCCAGGTCAAGGAAGAGAGTACAAATTCACCATTCAGATATCTAGAACGCTGATGACTCTGAATCTTCTAAAAATGGTTTGCCTTTCAAACGTTCATACAAAATTGGACATCTAATGTCTTCTGTAAATTCTCCAGAGTATCTCAGCACCAGAAAGTATTAGATAACCACCAAAATCTGGTGCTGGACAAAATCTGTTGTCTTTCATCAGATTTAAATAGGTCCCACTGTTGCACTTTAAAAGCACAGAAAAAGAATATGTTTTTATTCTTAACAGTATTTCTTCAGGTCAAAACCTATGCAGATATAGGGAGCGCGTTGCACTTGGCAATACGCATAGAACTTCGCTTACCCAAGACTGAAATAGTACTGGTATGACCCAGAAATCTGGAGATCCAGTTTGCAGTATTTGTCAGAGTCATCTTCTCTTCCTGTGGGATTGTGCCATGATAACGTCCTGAACTTGTGGCGATCAAACACTTCTCCAGAAGCTGGATAGTTAGTACACACAGTAACATGCTTGCCTTGAAGAGTTGGGCCCAGTCGGAACTGTAGTTCAAAGCCTCAAGAAAAAAGAAATTAAAGACATCTTATCAGGAGGACTAGATATTTCTATTCTATAATAACAGTTCATAATTTGATATTGTGTTAAGAAGAAAAGGCACTAGCCTATCTGTGAAGGACATATGGGAAGGCGTATCTCTACAGCATCTACTCTCCCTATTTTCCTGTCCTTTTCCTTTGCACTCTTGACAGCTTACGCAGAGTCCTTTACTTTTATGGAACTATTTACTCCCTTTCCTTTTTGTTTCCCTTTTCCATATAAAAAGTTTTAAAATAAAAAACAGCAAATCAAAGTCACCAAACCACATACAATGCAGATATTGGTAACACAGTATTTAAAAAAAAAAAAAAAGCTAAATCTTAAATTTTTAAATTCTAAATTTAAGCTTTTAAACTGTAAAATGATGTTTAGTCGCACATAATCTAAAGTGTACAAATTAACTGTTACACTTTGAATCACTGAGCTCTGTGGAGCTCGTACAAGTCCTGCAGCTCATACACGCATTGCAAAGAGTGGTATTTACGCTTAAGATCACAGGATAGAGAGAATATAATTAAAATATTAGGACTTAAAATAGTACTGTAGTCTGTTCAATTGAACATGAAGAATTAATTTTAGTCAGCAGCAGGTCTTGGAATACGCTTCCACGTGCGGGTACGAGGGCCTTCATCACATACATGGTTAAATTATTACAGAGTCTTTTCAAATGACTGCAACAGGCACCTGCACAACAACTTTCACGAAATTACATGCCAGTCATGTAGACTGTCTAGTAATTCACCTAGTACCTTACTAGACAGTCTACAAAACTGGAATTTTGAGTAAAAGAAATCTATGTTTTTGTGAGAGCAAATAATTAAAGTCTTTAAAAAAAAAAACAGTGGCAAGTTCCAATGTCTTAAATTGGAGAAAAAAAAGTTGCTTATGAAGTAGAATCAGAGCAGCTCTAGTATCAGAGTTCAGCCGTCTGAATACATTTAAATAGGTAAGTATCAACAAGCTCATAGTTTCTCTTACCAACATAATCGCCACTGCATCAAAGAATCCATGTAAGCCAGTGTTTTTAGGATCTGAACGTCTGTCAGGTAAAATGAAGCTCATTTGACTGCAAAAATCTTGCATGAAAAATCACTTTTGGAAGGTGAGTACAATCCTCTCCAGTACTGTCTTGACATTTCATTAGAGGGATTTCCAAAATTAGAGCACAGGGATATATGCCATTGATATCTTATTTCCTGTAACTGTTATGCTGACAAAAGGAATGCTGTGCTCAAATTAGCTATGCCCTCTCTGAGACTGCTGCCAGGAGAGGCGCTTTGGATGTCTTAAAATCCATACACTTTTGCGTGACTCTCTCCAACAAAATCTGTACTACTCCAAGGACAAAAAAATCAATAATAGAGGTGAGGTTCAAGTCTGCACTTGTACGCTAACAGTGTTTTTACATTACACTGAAAAATCTGAAAACAATATAATTGAAAAAATTGTTATTTGCATAAGCAAGGACCCAACATCTTACTCTTATACTAAACTACTTTGATAAAGTTCCTAGATCAAGACCTAAGGTAATTAAACCCAGAAAACTTCCACACAAAAAACATTATCTTTAAAAATGGTTACTAAAAAGAGTAACTTTGTTTTTAAGGGCTGAATTTGCTGACAAGCCTGACAGTGGACCAAATACAGGGTTTAGGTTTTTCTGCAAATAGATTTAAGAACACTTGTAAACACGTATATCACGAAGTTCTTGTTAGCAAGCAGCCAGATTAATCACAACATATTAAAGCTTTAAGAAATGTATAGTATAGCTTTAAGAAATTTGACTGGCAAGATAAGATTTGGAAGGAGCTGAAGAAGCCTGTAATCCCAAACATTACCTCAGATTTAACAAGTATTGTTAATATTATTGATGCATTTCAAATTTCTAATATTAAAAAAGGGAGCTGCAAAACACACTGCAAGCTTAACACCGCAGAGCGGGCTTTTCCAGGGTTTTATGGTTCCATCAAGTAAGGGTGATGCCGGCGGAGCCTTCTGCCCTGCCGAACACTCTGCACTTTGCAAGAAGCAAGCTCTCAGCCAACCTGCAGTTTTATGAGCCAGCCCGAACCAGCTTAGAGCTGGGCAGCAGGAACGGGCACGTCAGAAATAAATCGGTATTAAAACAAGGCGGGGGTGGGGTGGGGGAGGTAAGACCGTATGCTCTGAGCCCCGTTTCTGCGCGGCGCCCACCTTGCTCCAGCCTGAAGAAGGTCTTGTCCAGCTTCTCCATCTCGTCGAGGTGCAGCAGCCGCGTCTGCCCAGAGCTCGGCATGGCGGCCCCGGATTACCCGGCGCGGGCCCCGCGCCAGGGGGCTCCCCGCGGGGGCCCACCGGGAAGGCCCG